GAGAAGCTCTCTGCCTCTTCTACTTCCTCTCTCTCTTCAAAGGGGATTCAAGCCCGGATTTTCCTTCTGTGTCTTGCACATAATGGGACATATGTGGCTTATTCACAACACCAGTTGCTCCTATGCCATGAGGTAATGGGCTTGGGTGGAAGGCACACGTGGGAATGGACTTGCCCTGAAAGATTTCCTCCACCAGCCAAACTGAACTCTGGAAATAAAGCTGTGACGACGATTGAATTCTGGTGGGCCACAAGCTTCTGAATTAATTGTTCTGGAGTCTCCACCTGCTACTAAGGGCAGTGAAAGCGTTTTGCCTGGTTTTGGGAAGGAAAGGAACTAGGTTTCCACATTCTTACCACCTACAGCAGGGGTGTCCAATCTTGGCTACTCTTGAGATTTGTGGACTTCAACTCTCAGCTGCCTGGGGAATTCTAGGAGCTGAAGTCCACAAATCTTAAAAAGTTGCCAAGGTTGGATAACCCTGATCCAATGGGATGGGAAAAAGGAAGAGAGAAAGCAGTGAACCAGAAAAAAAACGTTTCTTTCCTTCCAACACCCTGGCTGTCTCCCCAAAGTGGTTTTCACGTGAGGCGCAAACCCCCAGGAGATACCCTGAAATAATTCAAACCCCTTTCGTGTCGGTTCTATTCTGTTCCTACTCAAATTCAGCATCAATTTTAGTTCAGAAGCTAAAGGCGACGCTGTTGGATTGTCGTTTGAGACCCTCGCTGTTCAATGTGGGGTGTTATTTTCTTTCCCATTTTTTTTTTTAAACTTTCAGGAGAAAGTCCAAATCTTGGCAAGCCAACTCAAGAAACCGGTTTGCCTCTCTTTGGGGACCTTCTGGGTCCATCACTCCCATGGTGAAGCTGTCTACTCCGAAAAGCAGAGCCCCCAATCCGAAAACAACAGAGATGACTGCGTAGTTCACATTCAACTCCCCAACAGAGCAAAAGAACCAGAAACACTAAATCCCTAAGCCTCAAGTTGCCAAGACATGTCAAGGTCTGTTTCCAGGTATTACGGAAAGAATGGAAGCTTTCATTTTATAGAGGAAGCGTGGTGCTCTGCAATTTCACGGCAATAAACAGAACTTCGCTTCATTTGCATTGCTCAAATTTAGCCAGTTTCAGCCTGCCCAATAACTTTCCCCAAATTACAACATTAAAAAAAGCATTTATCCATTATTTTAGGCCCTCTGCTCCGCACAGAATTGTTTCTTACACAATCCCTGCTTCCTCAAAACGACAAGAGATGCTATACTCCCATTTAGTTCGATACCCATACAAGGAAACAGCGAGAACAGGCCAATTTCAGAACAGGTCATTCTTCTTCTTCTTTTTTGGGGGGTGGGGTAGCTGTTTCCAAACATCCTACTTTCAAAAGGGACTCAAGTGATCCAGCATTGTCTTGAGGTGAGGACAGCCTGCACTCTGCAACTCTCGAAATCGTACAACTTTTAAAAACAGCCACAAAGCACGGCCACTTGGACCTGGAAGCTGTTCTTGTGAAGCACCCAGAAAAAGAGGTTTCCAAGCAATGAATCAAGCCAGAATCAACTGGATCACCCAAGCCAGGAACAGCACCAGTGAATTGAAAGAGACAACTCCAAAACCTTGCAGGAAGAACGCGCTTAACTCAAACTTTAGCTCCATAGTTAGAATGAGGAACAGGCAGACTGCAAGCCACCGAGGGCGGTCTCTTAAATTTCATTGTTTTTTTTGTTTTTGTTTTTTAAAAAGGGGAAAAGTTTCTAGATCTCATGGTCTTGAAGGAAGTGTCTGGACAATATTTGAGGAGATGATTACAGTACTTAGTAAGACAGTTTGTATCTGGGTAGGAGCTAAAAGCCCTCTTTGATAGGATTAAGCAAAGCAATTTTGAAAGGCTTTCTTTGACAGGTGTCCCCAACTCCCAGGCTGGCAGCCTGCTTGCAACGGGGACGCTGCGCGTGCGTGCCCAGCTCAACTTGCAGCCGAGCTGCGTATGCCCATTGCTCGCGCGAGTTGAGCCGTGTACACCACGCGACCCAGCCCGCCACTCCTGCAACCCAGTTCTCCCCCCGCCCCACACACACAGCCACAAAATGGTGTGTGTGTGCGCGCTGTTCTTTCAGTCACATCATTTCGTGCATTTTTAACGGCCAGAGCACAAACACCTCCCTAGTAGGAATAAGACTGAAAGAGCCCCTTGCCTCTTTCTGCAGTGGAAATAGGTTGTGTGCAAGGAAGCGCTCGTTTTTCCCATGTTCAAATTTGGAGGATTCCAGCCCAATGGAAGAAACTTAGCAACTGCCCAAGTTTAGAAATCCTGTCTCCCTAAATCAGGGAAGGCTGGATGGAGAACAATTCGGGAGAGGCAACGTTTGTGGTTTATCCAGACCGTCACTTGCTTCCTCGCAAGACATTTGGGAAATCATTTTTTTAAAAAACAACAACTAGTTTCTCTTCCTTTGGATCAACAGGCTACAGAACCAGGCCAGAGTACCAAGTTTGAGAAGGGAAGATCCAGGCTACGTTTCCATCCATATATATATATATACACGGAATTGGTGAATTCCTCATGCTGCTGAGACCACAGTTTTGTGGCTTAAAGATGGCTGAAGGGCTAAAGAGCCCTTACTCTTTGAGAGATTTTTAACAGCTGTCTAAAGTTCTAAACAAATCATATATTTATATTTTGGGTGAACCTGAAGAAAAATGTCCCACTAGTTAAAAAAAAAAATTGTGGAATTCATGTTCCGGAGATGTGAAGGTTTTCCTTTTGTTGGGTGGAAAGATGAACAGTAATCTCTTTGGGATGTTTCAGTTTGTACACCTGTGTCAAACAGGGCTGGATTTTATGACCTCACTGGGCCTCTCTATGGACAGTTTTGCTAATAAGACTGGTAGGAAGAAGGCTACCTGCTCCTGAACACAATGAAGTTAGGAAGCTTCCGCAGTTAATTTGAAAAAAAAAAAAGATATTCTTGCCCTACCGAGAATCCTTCTCCGAGACGAGACACATTTCTTCTGCAAGGAAGACTTGGGAGGAATACCTTTCCGGAACACTGCTAAAGGCAGAAGAATGCATAAACTCCTAGTGAAAAAAAAGGATGTGTCTTTACAACTGGAAAAGTTCAAATCTCAATTCCTCATAAGCCTTGTTACACTATCTTAGTGACAATGGGAAAAGCCATAATTCAGAATTAGGCACCTGATGGAAGGGAGATCACTTCTAATATATATATATATATATTAATTTGGAAAAAGTGCCACCATAGAATCCTTCTGATTTTTTTTTTCTACCCAAAATTACAATCCACAGGCAACATGAACACTAATCTGTATCTAAGTGGAAGACAAACAGATCCTTAGGAATCGGTGGGTGGACTTGCGTTAATTCACCCCACACCCTAAGGTAGTTCTATAGTGGGCTTCGCTCAACCCAACTCTTTTAAGGTTATGGCTTGGCCCGAACACCGTGGATCACAGCAGCATGTTCAACGAGAATAGGAAAACGATGGAAGATTCAGAATAGGATGTTCCTCCTTAGAAACCAATCACAGGCCCCAAAGTTAATCTAGAACAGCTACTAGTTGGATGCTCCAGAGACAGAGAGAGAAAGAGACCACATGAAACAGCTTTGCAAAGATAACAATTCTCCAAAATCTAGAAAGCATCTTGAAACGTCGGTTAAAGAGTTTATGCAGTGATACTCACAAGGAGCGCTTTGAGAGAAAGCAACCCACGGGTGACAATGTTTGGGGTGCTTCTAGGATGTTTCACAATCTACGAAGAGCTAAATCAAACTATGATCCAAGTTCTCCTCTCAACTGCTGTATCTTTGTCGTAAAAAAAAAAAATAATTCACAAGTCTCTGTAGGGATCTAGGCAGGTGGTAAAACTTCACTTATTCACCGGTCTTCTAATACCACCAACCAAATGAGCACCCTTTGTCCAGAGTTCATAGCTCATAACTCTCTTTCTGGGACAATCGGATCATCGCTAAATAACCCAAAGCTGATCAGATGGCACCTTATTCTATCAATTTAAGGTTCTCCATTTTCAACCTCGTGATTCCTTTTCTCTCTCCACATGACTGTGGAGGAACATCACCCCTGGCTGACAAAATTGGATTTAAGCCCAGGGCAGGAAGACTGTTATAAAGAAACTTGGCTAGGAGAGGGGAGATTAGTTACTCAGTAAAGGAATTTAGAACAGCAGGGAAGTTTCTTCCGTAATATTCTTCCAACCACACACCCAAAGGATGAAGACAACACCCAGGCCTCCAAGAAAGGGAGAGGGACACCAACTTCCTTGTCCACTTTGAACTTTTACTGGTTGGGATTTATTTCAAGGGTCTTGGCGGAACCTCTCTTAATTTTTCATTTCTACATTTCATGTCTGGCCTTTCAAATCCCAGCCCTCAAGATTCTCATTCCACCCGCATTAAAAACTAGTCAGCAATTTAAAATAATAATAATAATAATAATATAAATATATAAACAGGAAGACAGATAAAAAGTCTAACTCCTTCACGAGTTCAAGTGGAGTTGACAGGCTGGGTTGACTCAGATTTTTCTGGATCGACAGAAACGAGTCTTGGGCTGTTTGGAGGAACAGGAGATGCCCCCAGATCTACGCAGGCACCCGTGTTTCCATGGATAAAACACCACAACTGGCAGTTGGATATATGTGTTAATTGGCTCGCTGTGGTGAGAGGATAGGTCAGTGATGGCGAACCTTTTTGGCACCGAGGGCCCAAACTGGAATGTACACGCATGTGTATGTGTGCGTGCTAGAATGCCAGAAAACGAAAGACCAGCTGGCTGGTGTGCGCATGCCTGGTTTTTGCCCGTTCGGGGGGGCATTTTCAAGTCATTTTCAGGCTGGTTTTGACCTGAAAATGGCCCAGAAAACAGCCCCAAAACAGCCTGAAAATGGCCCGAAACACAGCCCCAAAATGGCTTGAAAGTGATCAGGGAACAGCTTGAAAACAGGCCAAAAAATGGTCTGTTTTTTGGCCCATTTTCCAGCACCTGCAAAGACCAGCTTGGCCAGTGCACATGTGCGTGCCAGAAACCGTAAGAAGAGTTGGCAACGGTGTGCATGTTCACAGCGAGGGCTCTGCCTGCCACCTCTGACATGTGTGCCATAGGTTCGTCATCATGGGGATAGGCCCAAATCAAAGAACTACACGCGAGAGGCTGAAATCCATCTCCTGAGTCACTTGGACTGAAATGGATATCGTCCTGGTGATTTGTGAGGACACAAGTCTCCTCACAAGGAGTATCAGGTGAGGAAGTATGTGCAAAAGTGCATTGCACACACGTTGGAGAAAATGGTAAAACTCAAAAGAGTTCCCTCTAGGTTGGGGTGTGGGCAACTAAGTCCCCTTGAGTATCTGTGGACTTCAACTCCCAGAATTCCTGAGGTAGCCATGCTGGGCTGAGGGATTCTGGGAGCTGAAGTCCACAGGTTGTGAAGGGGCCATAGTCACCCACCTTTGCTCTAGGGTCAGGGATGTGGAACCATGGGCCCTGTTATGACTGGTGGACTTCAACTCCCACAATTCCTGAGCCTGGCTCAGGAATTCTGGGAGTTGAAGTCCACAAGTAAAGAAAAAAGGGCCATGGTTTCCCACCCTTGCTCGAGGTCAGGGGTCTTCAAACTCGACAGCTTTAAGATTTGTGGACTTCAACTCCCAGAATTCCTCCTCCAGTCATGTTAGCTCAGGAATTCTGGGAGTTGAAGTCCACAAGTCTTAAACCTGCCAAGCTTGAAGACCCTTACTTTAGGTCCATAAAATCACTGGGGACCTGAAGAGGCTTTATTTAAAAACATTAATTCCACAAAGTCAATACAGAAGGCTTACGAAAATAGATTCTTAGCCAGACACCTCCACAAGACAGAAAAAAAAAAACCCTCCAGAAAAGGGATTTTCTCTGCTTCTTCCTCTTCAAAATGAACATTATTGTGGCCGACGAGACCCCCGCCCAAATCAAGTGCCGTTCCGTCCTACCAAGAATTCCCACATCCCATTCCCGTTCCCAATTCCCATAAGCCTCCTTTCTGCTCCTTCCTTAAATCCTTCGGTTCTCTCTTCGAGAGAAAAGCCACCTTCCCGGTCCCCTACTTCTAACCTCAACCACTTTTCTAACCTCAACCAAAGACATGCAAAAAGTAGCCAGCCTTATCCGATCCTTATTCAATCCGATGGGGAATTTTTTCATGACTTCGTGGGCGAGGACATAAAAGAGAAATGGCATCCTGCTGGAAGCGAGGGGGGGGGATCGCGAGTCGTGAAAGACACATCGGGATCAGTGGATTATCATCTCCACAGACCAGGGGATGTCCCATCTCTTGTTCAAAGGGTTGGCTCCCAACCCTTGCAAGAAAGGATGACCCACAGCTACCTGTTCAAACATGAAAGCCAACCAACCAACCAAGCACAGCACAACACCCCTTTGTACCCCAACTAACTCGGCTCCCCGGTGTATCTAGGTTTATCTCTGCCCAGAAAGAAGTGGGCTTTAACTATGGCCTTCTACTTTAGCTAGTTCATTCCTTAATCCATCCCCCGAGTTCTCCTGGAGGAAAAAAGACGACCGCTCCGGAGTTATTGCATTGAAAAAGTTGATGTCAGTTACAAAGAGCTTGCGACAAGACAAAATATTTGGGAAAGGAAGGAAGGAAGGAGAGAAGGAGGGGAAACCAACGTTATTTCAAGCCTCGGAAACCAAACAATGGGGGCAAACCAGCGTTCTCCTTGCTTGGGAACGACTCAAAAAAAAAAAAAGGGAAAAGCTGTGACCAAATTGTCCTCTGCAAACTTCAGAAGTCAAGCCCTGTGCGCTTTGAGGGTGGCACGGTTTGTCTTCCCTCTCGCGTGGGGTTCCGGCAAGGAGGCACCGCAGAGGTTACATGATGCAGCATTTATTCTTGTGGTTCTGGGGATCCTTGAAACGCAGGCGCTGCTTGGGCCGGTATTTCTCCAGGTAGGTCAGCTGCTTGCTGTTGATGGCTCCTCGGCGTTTCCTGCAAAAGAGGAAGAGGAGGAGGGAAGCACGTTGCGTGCGCCACAAAAGCTGAGAAAGCGGAGAGCGTCTTTTCCATACAGGGATGAGACAACTCTGGTTTAGTGGTTAAGGCCCCAGGGTAGAAACCGGGAGATGGGGAGTTCTAGTCCCGCTTCGGGCATGAAAATTAGCTGGGTGACTTTGGTCCAATCGCAAAGAGACACTGAGCTCTAGTTCCACCTTGGCA